GCCATCTTTTTTTTCCAGGGAATATTGATTGTATCCTTCATAGACAAAGGCTTTCTTTACACAGTAGAACTCGCTAAAATTCCGCAGATAGCAGAGCTTCAAGGTCATTAACCCAAATACTTTTCGTACGTGATCCTGCAAAAAAAGTAATTGCAAAACTATCCGTCACCCGTTTTGGCAGTTGAAGGTCGTTTTATGGCAATTCATTAATTTTTTCTTACAGTAAAGTAAGTGTATCAACTCGTGCCATGAACTCAGTCGGGGTCATAAGTGGGCGTTTTTTCTTGCTTGAATTTACAGAGTTGGGAGTAGTAGGGACCAGGACCAACAGTCTGGTTCGCTTTTCTCCAAAAATTTTGCAACCCCTCCACTTGAGGAGGGTCTCGGTGCAACCCCACCACCACCATCAGCCTTTGGAGGCTCTATCAATACCACCCCACACCTCACCATCGTCGAAGAACCCGTCCAAAACGATTCACCTCATCCACTCCACCCCATCACCCTTCCAACTTCCACAAAAAACAAAACATCCCCCATTTGCGCTCTCCAAAACATGGATAACCTTGCTCAGCCCCAAATATGACTTCCCCTTTACAAAATTCCACATGCAGCCCCCTCGTTCGAATAGTGCGAATGGACGGTAGACCCTGGTAGGAACTCAGACCTGTGCCTCTGGCCGTACAAGAAGTGTGTAGCACAGTGTTGAGAGATGGCCTAGTCAGCCGTTATCTTGATGGTCAACCAATGAAGTGTTTTATGCGTTCCTCGCTGAGCATTGCAAAGTATTCTTCTCGGGATTAAGTGGATGTCAGACTTGACGATTATGCAATTAGGCCAGCGTTGTAGCCGCTTGCTGCACAGTGGCCACCCCTTTAAAGGGTTCCAAAGTTTAACCGCCATTACTACCAACCTTATAGATAGAAGGCTCCCAATATGGCCTACCTCGTTCCACCCCCACCGTCACCCCCACCACCATGGATTTTTTATTATTGGAGAATATTCGATTCCGAGACTACTCGACACGGCCAACTCCGCCCACTTTCTCATCCAAAACCGCAATCGAGCTAAGGAAAGGGGAAACGGTCTGAACCGGCAAATCCACCGATTTTGTCAACTTTACCCTCCTCCGGTAAAACTTCACCCATTTCCTTCTGGAAAACAACGCCAATCCCGTACATCACACCCAATTTTACGGTCATTTTCCGGAGGTACTTGAACTTGCTCATCCCCAAAATGCTATCCCCCCTTCCCGAAGAAACAAATATTCCCCCTCGTTAGAATAGTGGGAACGGACGGTGGGATGTGTCGTTATTGATCTGTATGGTATGCGTTAGGCGCGCTGTCGCTGGATAATCGCCGAGTCTGACATCCACCTAACGAACCCAGGCTTCTCTTACTAAATAATGACAAAATACGACACCTCTCTTCATTTCTATGCTTTTGAACAGAGTTTCGAGAAAATAAGGGCAGTTGCTACCAGCCACCCATCTCTACCTTCATTTCAGCACATGGGATCGTGGACTTCTCATAAATGGCACCGTGAAATTGTCCGGTAATGAAGATGTCGACAAATGCAAGCTGTTCAAGGATTTCGCTGCTCAGGTATACTTGGGAGATCCAAAGGGAGCGGGGCAAAGGCAAAGCAAAGATGTTCAAAAGTCCACTGTGAAAAAAAAGGAAGCAGGTGGCGGGCTGTGAGCACGATCAACTGAGCATTGGGCAATTATAGGTTGAAGAGGTAGTGGGAAAAGTGGAGCTATTTGATCTTCTTGTTTTTTTTCTCAAATGAGGGTTGTATTTGGTGGAATGGGGATTAAATTTATTCTGAGGTAGGGAATTTCTCGCCCTCTCTCTTGCGCTCACCCATCTGAGAATTATTTTCGAGGAGAGGCCTACCTTTTCGGGAAGGCCAATCGTATGTATGAGACATCCTTTCGAAGGCTTCAAGGGGTTGGATAAACCACTCCTCCCCCTTAAGACGATGAAGCCGTGCTCATCAAAAGCTTTCTTGGTGTATTGACAACCCTGCGAGATGTCCTGCAGAGGTTGAAAACCCACAGGGCTGTGATGGCCTTTCTTGGACTGTTTTGGCCTGGACGAGTGTAAATGTTTCTCCTGAAAAGCTTTCCAAGTGTCCACAGTTGGAGTCCTCTATTTATCACCCCTCCCCTTTCCCCCTTGAATAATTCCGGGCTGTGCTAATCAGAAAATAGCTCAAAGCCATGAGTTGGGTCTAGGCGCCAAGGTAGTGTATACTAGGGTAAGGAGGAGAAGTACCCAAACTCAGGACCCGCGACACTGCCGCGACTCAACATTGCGCGGTAGGTGCGCAAAGACTCTTCCTTGTATGCTGCCGGCGCTGCAACTCTATCAATCGTAGCAAGGCTGTTTGAAATGAATAAACAATAATACAAAGAGAATATGGAGAAAAATTTCAGGTCAAGGCGAACGGAGGGCGAATCGACAAACTGAAAGTTGCCGATGACTTTGCACTGTTGGATCCTTGCAAGTTAGTGATGGTCCAGTTGTTCCTTTCTGAGCAAGATCCAGAAATCGAATCGATAAGCCATTTTAAACAACTGATTGGTCTTAAGGGTCGAAGACCAGGTTTACGGTACCTCATGCGGGACGATGTTCTGTAATGAAGCGCTCGGAGAGGAATGTATCGCTGGAAAATTGTGTGGATGCCCGAAGGGACAGAAGCGAAAGGATGCACAGAGCCCTTGTCGCGTGGTAAGAGACATGTTTATTACCTTCTTTACATTATTCAGTCATGCTGGTCCTAGGTGGAATCCTTCAATCTGCCGCTTTACGTCATACGAGACGGTAATAATCCACTGAAATATACGCCAGGTCTTGCTAACCCGCGAGATGACAGACATAAGGAACTAGTGGAAAGGTGAGTAAATTCTCGTACAATGGTTTAGCACTCACTTGATTAATCGTATTGCCCTTTTAGGTTTGAGTCTGGAGTTGGTGAGAGCTACGACAAGACACCTCTCAAGAACGGATTCGTTTCTGTTGAAGTAAATGACATCGAGGAGCCCTCGCTGCGAAATGCGGTGAGCATCCTTCGATTTTATTACTCGACTTCCTATTACAGTAACTTACTATAATTGTGGAATGGTAATGGGTGGAAATGGTTCGGAATGGAAATTAGGAGGAATTTGAAAGTATCCTGCTGTGGCTTGCACCTACGTCGGTATTAGTAGGGAAAACTCCACAAATTGGCCGATGTCAGACTTTGCGAATTGAGTTGAATTCGAGCGATTCGCTAGCTTCCGATGTCGCGTCGCGACCAATGAATCGCTCAGAATTAGTGCTCTTAGGACCATCTCTGGGCCTGATAC